ATGCCTTTTGTCCCCTTTTTCCACTAAAAGGTTTCACTTGAAAATATTCTAATTGATAAATAATAATATTTACTCCAGCTGAATTCACAATATGTTCATATTACTCGATCTCTGTGGGGTTTGGGCAGCCATGCCATGAAAATAACCCTGGAAATAGTTCTAGAAAGATTCCCTTTCCCTTCTTTACCCACTGGCATTGAAGCAGCAAGTGATTCACAATAAAATTATGTTGCTACAGGAGGAAAAAACCCACTAAAATAATGATCACACATTCCTTCACTTCTGAGGTAAAACGTGTTTTTCAACAGCAGAAAAATATTTGTATTTGGTTAAAAAAAAAAAAAACCACACACAAAAAGAAAGGTAAGAGATTTTCCTTGTATCTTTGAAGCTCTACTTAATATCAAAGCAAATTTCGAGGAGTTAACCTGATCACAAAGCAGCTGGTGTTGCTCTCCAAACTAAAGAATTATACTAAAAAAACCCCCCCCCACCTCTTCAGGCATCTGGAGCTGGATTAAATTTGCAATGCAGTGTTAATGTAACCTTTCCTCCCCTTTTTCTCCCCACTCCCCTTTTTTCTTTTCTTTTTTTTTTTTTTTTTTTATAAATGGCTGTGACAGAAGTGAAATCTAACATTTAATTCAGCTGAATGTATTGCAACTGTGCCATGAAACCTGGAGATCTTGTCATGTATCTACAAGGGAGGCTTGGGCCGGGCTCCGAGACCGGATCCCAGGGCCTTGGAAAATTGGGGATGAGCCAAACCAAGCCCAAACTGTGCAGCTTCACACCCATCTCTAATCAGAAGCATTAACTTGACACTTTTCCAGCCATGAGTAACCATTCTTCCATGCTGGAAGAACTCAATAGGATGCATTGTACAGCACTTATTTCCATGTCTCTTATTCATATTTGGGTCTCGACAACAAAGCCCGAGTTTTGGGCTTTCATTCAAGCTCCAAAGAGCAAAAAAAAAAAAATAAAAGGGTTTTGGTGAGACCTTTTCAGCTCCAGGTTTGAGTAGTAATTTAAATTTGAAGTGAGGATTATCTCTTCTGTTTTGTTTAATAACCATTAAAATAATTAAAAAAAGAATATCTTGGTGTCTCCTGGAGATCTGACGAGCTCTACTCCATTGAAAATGAAAATATTTGGTTGTGCAGAAGAACACAGGTAGGAATTAAAACATCCCCAGCTGAGCATCACTGCAAAAATCTGTTTGCAGAAGGCAAGTGAAGTGCCTGGAAAAGCCTGGAAAAGGGGGGCCTTAATGATAACAGCTGTACAACTAATTTATTACCAAAAAAAATCAGTGGAGGTTTTAGATATGGCCCGAGACTGAAACATAAGGAATGAAATCATAACACAAATCAAGCACCTACTGCCCTGTGCTTTTTCACCTTGATTTTTCTCTCTCACAAGTTCCTGTGCTGGTCAGGGAACAACTCTCCTTTCAAACCTAATAAACAATTCTGCACATTAATGACTTTGCCTGATGTAAATCTTGACGATTAAAATGAAAATTGGTGTGCAAACAGACCCTTAATCCTTTAAAAGAATCTTTTTTTTTTTTTTTTTTTTTTTCCACTTCTGACTTTGGGGGTTGATAACAGGCAGGCAAAAAAAAAAAGGCTTTGCCAAAATTTAAAATCTTAAAACGCAACAAATTAAAAAAAAAATCAATTAAAAAGAAAAAAAAAAAAGAGAAGGGTGCAGAAGACACTGGAGCATTCAAGAACACTCTTAACTTTGGTTGTATCCAGGGAAGTCATCCTTCTATCCTTAGAAACAAGGAGGCAGACAGAAAACAAGCTGTCTTTGCTTATTGTCTTTCCTGTTCATCACGGCTGATTTCCCTTGGAACACGGAGCTCTGCTAGTCCCAAAGTGTCAAATTTTAGCAATCAAGCCGCTTTTCTGTGTCTTTTTTTATCCTCACTGACCTCTGCAGCCCAGAACAAAGCTCGTGGAGCCCCGTGTCCAGCTTTGGACGGGCCTGAATGAGGAATCAAAACCTCAGGAATTCTGCAGTTTGGCTCAGAGTGTTCATTTTTTGCGATCCCAAAAAAGTCCCATCGACATTTTTGGGTTTGATAGAAAGTAAATTAAACTCCGTGGTTTTGGCTGATCTGGGTTAATCTGGGGGTCTGAGCTGAAATTCTCACGCCGAAACTCCGAGGGGACGAACTCCTGGAGGTTGGGAGTGTGGGAGGAGCTGAAGTTATCCCTGAAAAACGGAACCACGGAGGTTCACTTGGCTCAGCTTTTCCCACCTTGGCTTGTGCCAAGGCAGAGAAGCCAGAGGAAGAGCCTGTCCCAGCTCCTTTTCCTCTCCTAAAGTGCTGCTTTTGGTCCAGAGATCAAAAGCAAGGCCACACTTTCTCCCATGCAGGCGATGCCAGGCGGGTGTGCCAAGGAATGGAGGAATTCCACGGAATTCCAGCCCCATCCAGGTGGGGCTGCAGGACTCACTTCAGCCTCCCTGTCGTGTTTCCCTGGAAATCTGAGGCTGTCGGGGCTCTGCTCCATCTGCATTTGGGTGTGGAGGCCCAGAGGTGACCCAGAGAACAGGGCTGATGTTTCGGATTCCCGCCCCGAAAAATGGGATCCAAACTCCCGCAGTTCAGCACCTGACGGAAATCTGGGATTTCAACCGAGGGGTTTTTTGGGAAGAGCCAGCACGAGCTTGAAATCAGAGCTGAACTGCTCCAGTGGCCAGGTGTGTTGGGACCCAGAATTTCTATTTTGGCTGTGACAACCAACATTCTGTGTAACGTGGCAGTGCCTCCAGTCCCCAGGTGCTGATCAGGAGCACGACTTTTTTACAAACTCACAACAAAACCCCCCAAAAAAGAGCCTGTATTTAGGTTTCATTCCATTCCACAATCAGCTCCAAGAGCCAACAAGATCTGTTTACATGCTGTAAAATGGGTTTTCCTTTGCTCTCCAGATTTTTTTTTTTTTTTTTTTTTTTTCGTTCTTGGCAGATGAAAACTAATTGGTGTTTTTTTTTCTTTCTGGAAACTGCCACTCGAAATAAAAAAATCAGTCTAAATTTCCTAACAATGAGCACCTCTTTTTTTCCCTCCTGTCTTATCATCTCTAAAAAACACAGAATGAAGAAGTCACTGCAGCCCCTTTAAACTACAAGTGAAAAAAATTAAGTTGGTCAGGATTTTTTCTTTAAATTCCTTCCTGCTCCAAATAATAATAAAAAAAATTAATAACTCTTTTTTATTTATTTTTTTGCCTACATTTCTTTAATTTTTTTTAGCTTTTGTTTTGCAGGATTCCTCTTAAATTTGAACCTTTTTTTCTTCAATAAAAACTTACCTCCTGCGAATTTTTCATCACCAGCAAAAGTTAAAAATAAAATATAAAAATCATTTGTCTGTGAAAACATGTTTTGGTGGAAAGTTTTAAGCAACTCTGTCAACTCCTGTGGAACTTTAATAATCATTTAATAAACGAGGAAGCTGATGCAAGTGAGCACGAAACATGAAGCAATGAAACATGAATTGCCAGACCTACAGATGTCACCTTCCCTTGTCAAGCCCTGTGGGTCTACAAGAAAACCACCCATCCCTCAACGAGATAAAATCCAATTTGTAGCAGGGATGTGACCCAGGGAAGACACAATAATGATGAGAACAAGGGTAGCCCTGCTTTCCATCGGTGGCTTTTGAAGGCTCTGGATGACAAAGGACACGTGGATTTTCAAATGGTCTCCTGGATTTGACCACAAAGTTTTACCAAGGTGAGCAATGAATATTATGTTTGTATGATATATACTAAATATATGTACTAATTGTATAATATATACTAAATATGCATACTAAATGTATATATATTTGTATAATATATACTAAAAATATATACTAAATGTGTATATATTTGTTAAATATATACTAAATATATATACTAAATGTATATATATTTGTATAATATATACTAAAAATATATACTAAATGTATATATATTTGTTAAATATATACTAAATCTATATACTAAATGTATATATATTTGTATAATATATACGAAATGAAAGGGGAAATGGCTCAGTAAAGGTCACACAGTAAATTTGGGGCACGGTCCAAGCACCGGGTTTGCATCCCTGTGGTCCCTCACTCTCCTCTCACTGCAGATCATTCCAGCACCACTTTCCTCAGCCACGTCCCTTCCCACCTGCCAGCACATCCAGGGAGGAAAAGGCTGCCCCGTTCCCTTTCCATTTTCATAAGGGCTAAGCTACAGGTGAAAGACTTTATTTCTGAAAGCTGAGAGGGCCGGGAGCCCGCGTGTGCCTCTCCCTCCCCGCCACGGCCACACTTCACCTCCTCCTGCGTTTTTATGAGCTGGAATTCACAATCCATCAGCCACGGGGATGATGAAACCAGTGGCAGATTTCACTGCAAAGCAGCTGGGTCATCGTCCCGCGGGGCTTGTTGCTTTGCTGTGTGAGATCTTAAAGTGACCATCGCTATTTTGGCTCCTTGGGTGTTTGGTTGGTTGTTGTTTTTTTTTTTTAAAGAAGCCAAAAAGGAGGGTATGAGAGTGTTAACAGGCTGAAAAAAAAAAAAAAAAAAGGGTGGAAAGAGGTAAGGAGCGGAGGGAAACGAGGAGTAGCACGTAGAGAGTTACTTTGAAAAATTCTGAGGCTTCTAAGTATCACAAACACGATCCCTGCTGTGGGCAGCTGGATGCGAGAGAGCTTTGCCCGAGGGTGTCAAATCAAATATCCACTGCTGGTTGGTACAGCACATCACTCCCCCTGGGGGATTCGGAGGGGAAAAAGAGGGGGGAATAAAAAAAAATAATTAAAAAAAAAAAAAAGGGGGGGTGGTGGAAAGGTTTAAACACAACAAATGGAGAAAAACTTGAGCACTGCCTGCTCTGGGTTCTCATGGGCTGTCATCGTATTTATTATGAGCAGAGGAGGGGGGAAAGGAAGAGAGGAAAAGGAGCAGACAGGTTAATGCTGAGCCTTATAAGACTTACCTGGAACCGTCTCATGTCTCTTGGGTTTCCTGCTGTTTTCAAGCAGTTCTGATTGCACTTGAGAAAAAATTTTAAGAAGAATCTGGAAAGACAAAGAACCACATCACTTCTGTTACCCACAGGAAAAGGTGCTGTTGTATCCTGTGTTAAAGTACATATGCCAGGGATTTACATTTACATGATGGGGTATCTTATAGGATGTCAAAAGAGAAACCAAACAAACAAAGCCAAATCTTAACAGAGAGAAGTTTAAAAAAAAAAATAAAAATCAGGTAAAGTGCAACCGAGGTGCCTGAAACCCACTCTGGGTTTGACCACACAGTTTTAGTCCCTTCCTTTATCTCTCCCTCGCATACAAGGTCTTTCTTTTGCTGTCTGGAGGGATTTTCCATGAAACAATACCGAAGGATAATGGTATTGTGGGAATGACAAAACCCAACAGGGCAACCCTGCAGCAGATAAGCCTGGAAACCACTTCGGGGGGTTTCAAACCAGAACCAAGAGAGGAATCTGAGGAGGTTCCCTCAGCTGATATTTTTTTGTGGTGAAGATTCCAGTGGCTGAAGCAGAGAAGCAGTAAAATATCCAGATTATAATCTCACCAAGATTTAGAGGGAGGACAAGGAAAACACAAGCCCAAGTGCTACATGACAGCTCACGCTGTCCGAGCAGATAAACCCATTAACACTGGACAAACTTCTGCTGCCAATTATTTTTGCCCTGTCACACCCTCTTTTTTTTTTAGTGTGTTTTAATACTCTGGAGAGTTCAGCTCATCAAGCTGAACCTTCAGCACTCTTGGGTGACTTACCCAACACCGTACATAACAGGTTTGAGAGTTTGGAAATATTAAGCAGCGATTTTTCTGTGAGCTTTTCCACCGAATTTTATGTCAAATCCAGGGAGGGGAGGACTCATCCCTTTATTTGATTAATCTGATTAAATTTGTGAACTTCATAAAGAAAGAAACTCCACAAAAATCCACATTTTTTGGATTGAAAGCAAAACGAGCCCGTCTTCAAAATTCAGACACGAGCAAGAAATTTTTCGGCATCCTCTGTCACAAATGAAAATATTCCCTGTGATTCTTTTCCTTTCTATTTATAGGACAAAATACGTTGAACCACAACAATCTCAATTACAAAAATAAATCAAAGATGGCTTTAGAAGGGGGAAAAAAAAAACAAAACAACCTCGGATATAAGAAAAAAATAAATAGTCGAAGAATTGATTTGGAATACAAAGAACAAGTTATTTATTTATTTCTCTTGCCGAGTGCTTTCCTTAAAAAAAAAAAAAAAAAATCAGCTTTTGCAGTAAGTTAAAGTCCCAGGTGAGCCAGGCCTATTTCCCTTCCTGTTACTATGACAACGATTTTTTACCGCAGTCCCTAAGTCCCTTCAGAACTCACACATTCATGCCTTGAATTAGAACTTTAAAGGAGAAAGATGGATATTTCCTGGGTTTACCAACAACACCCCCCAAAGCAGTCCTGCCACGAGACAATGAGGCAGAAAAAAGGCTCTGCCTTGTTTAGGGCCCCCCTTGGCCCGGGGTGTTCCTGCTCCTTCTGCCCCAAAATGCAGAGTAAGGGCTGAGGGTTGGACCCGTTTGGGTGTTGCTGGAACAAACAAAACCCTTTGGAAACCCCACCAACACTAAACCTGCAAAAAAACACCCAGGAAACCTCCTATAAAATAACTGCCCCAAAATCCACCCCGAGAGCGAGTGGGGATTTTAATTTTTAAATTAAAATCTCCCCTTTTTTCCCCCCCCTTAAATGTATGAGATGTTGAAAGAGTGTTTCTTTTCTCTGCGAGTGCATTTTGCAGGCTGCTGTTTTCTCCGTTTTTCCTTCTCATTCCCCATTTAAAGAGCTCTTGGGGTTTTTCCAGGGGGTCCTGCTGGGATCTCCCTTCACCTGAGCAGGTTGAGCAGGAAAGAGGAGTCAGTGCTCAGCTCTCAGGGGGTCAATCCTGCCGACAGATCCCGGGCACCTCCCTGGATTCCGACCTAAAAATCCTCCAGAACTTCCTTCCTCGGGAGCAGCACCGGGTGAATACATTCCCTCAAATAAGTCCTACTGACTCCTCGTGCTGAAACCTGTGACCCCTTTTTTATTTGAATGATTTGGGACCTCTTTTCATGGCGTGAGATTTTATCCAGGAGAATGTTTTCCCAAGCAAAAATCCTCTGACGTTCGCGGGAGGGTTTGAGGCAGAAATGTTGCTCACAAACACTCCTTTTTTATCTCCCCCTCTTCTCACAGAGGTCCAAAAAATTGTTTGCGGGTAGATAAAGGTGGCCCTGAGACGTTCCTGTAGAAGGGAAAACTGCAAAGTGGAACCAAACTAAGACAACGAGGGGACTTTGACACGAAAATCAACGAGCCGATTATCCTGCAGGAAAACTGCAAACAAAAATCCACAAGTTGTTGCTTCCAGGGGAAAAAAAAATAAAACAAATTAATCAGGAAAATGGCCCCTTTCCTTTTTTAATTTTTTTTTTTTTTTTTTTGTGAATGCTTTGCATCCCGTTCCTTGAGAGGAGGAAAACGATCAGATAAAGAACTAAAAACGAGGAAAACGAGCAAAGAAAAGTGTCTGGGAGAGAACTCACGGCTGAGTTTGGGAAGAGCAAAGATCCTGCAGGGCTGTGTGTGACACAAACCCCTAAAGGGCAAATACAGAGGGGAAAAGCTCTAAATGTAACCCCTAAAATGCAGGTACAGGGGGGAAAAAAATCTAAATGTAACCCCTCAAAGGCAGGTACAGAGAAGCAAAATTCTAAATGTACATTTAACAGCATCCACGAGCAAACTCTGCAGCACAGTGAACTAAAATGATATTTTTCTGCTAAATGCCTCTAGAAAATTAAGGTTTAGATCCTCATCAAGCATAAACTAACAAGGTGTGTGAAAATTAAAGGTGGATTTCGAATTAAATCTGGGCTGATTCAGACCAAGGGGGTGTGTTGTCCCTTAAAAACACACAGAAAAGAAAACTCTCCCTGTGCTGCTGCATCACTGACTGCTCTGCCCCAGACACATCCAAACCCACGGAGCTCTGGGCTCCTGAACCAGGAGATTTATCCAGCAGCAATCTGGGGATCTGTTGTGGTTTATCCCACCTGGGATAACTTTCTGGCACCGCTGAGCAGCTCAACTGCTGAAAATTTTGCCCTTTTAGGACCCCAGAAAATCGCCTCATCTCCCCTCTGAAAGTGCTGGCTTTGACCTTAGCACTTAAACATCGTGGCAGAATTCAGATTTATTGCCAAGACATTTGTAGTTTCTTCAGAGCTCGCTGAATATGCTGCACTGTGATGGTTTTCCCTCCCACCACCCCCAAATTCAGGTTGAATTTCATTTAGGTGCACGCACAAGAATTTTTATCTTTTCTCCAGTTCAACCACATCTCTCTTTTTCTCCTCTCAGGGTTCCTCCAGTCACATTTTAGCTGCAACTGGGCATCTGCATGAAGAATTTGGTAGGTTGTTATATATATATATACATATATATATTTTTTAAGTGGTTGCATCTGGGAAAGGCATTAATATTTATTGCAGCATTAGAATAAAAATGACTTGGGGGAGCAAAGAGGAGGGAAGGTTTAGCACTAAATGAAGCTGATTTAGGGGTAACAGGAGAATTGCAGAAAGGCTTTATTAATTTTTTTAAATTAGAACCTTTAGCCAGTTTTTGGCTTTAACCTATATATATATATATATATATATCTCCAAAAAATTATTGGGAAAAAAAGGAATTATAAAAAATTATCTCATTGTCATGTCTCTTAGCCAGCTTTTGGTCTTGCTAAGGCCAGCTTTAGGTCTGAGTTTAGCAGGTAACTCTGACTCCAGCCAAGCAGGGGGAGTGTGGTTCTTCCTCTCACAGATCAGCATTTCAGGGTGCTGGGGGAAAACAAACACTTTTGATCAACTACCCCTAAAAACTCTGGCATTGCCATAGAAAACCTGCTTGACTTAATGCAGAAACATAAAATTAATGAAGATATAACTATGGACTTTTTCTTTTCCTGTTGTCTCTCACACACTCGACCTCACTGGGCACAGATTGATGCCTTTGCACCTCCAAAATGCCACCTTAAATCTGCCTCCCTCTGTTAGGGTTTAGAGGGAGCTGTTTTAAAAGTTGCTGCTCCTCCTGCTGGGAGTCACCCCCGAGCTGATGAATCATTGAAGTGCCCCTTTTTCACTTCAGGACAAAGGCAGCTGTGTTACCTCAGCTGGTTTTTAGCAGTGCCATGAGCAATCCTGTCTGACCTGGGGGGGGGGAAGCAGGTTGGGAATGCTGGTTCCATCCAAACCAGAGCTGTTCACAGACAGGGAGAAAGGGTGATGGAGACTAAGTCAAGTTTTGCATCAATCAAGCAGCTGTTGCCCCCCAGTCCCTGTGTGTGCCCAGATTTTCAGGTTCTACCCCTACCTGAGGCAACTACAACATCTGTCCCACACCTCTGAGGGTGTTTATCCACCTCAGGTGACTGAGAAGAATCAAACTGACCTGAAGCAAATCCCACTGGAGTCAGAAAAAGCTTCCTGGTGGCTTAAACAGCAGCCCCACATGCAACAGAAGGTGAAATTTTAAAAAAACCCCCATTAATAATGTTTTAACACCCTGCCCCAAGAGCTGGGACGGGCGAGTGTCACCACAGGGGCCCTCAGGAACAGGGAATGTGCTTTGTGTTCTCACAGTGCCAGTCTGGGGGACTCAAACTTCCATGAATTCTGCCTCAGAAAACCCCTCTGCAGAGGTGCTGCCACCCCCCAGTGCACAGGCCAAGATCCCAGGGCCTGGAAACTGGGAGGGAACTGCTCCCCATCCCATCCCATCCGGATCCCATCCCATCCCATCCCATCCCATCCCATCCCATCCCATCCCACCCCATCCCATCCCATCCCATCCCATCCCACCCCATCCCATCCCACCCCATCCCATCCCATCCCACCCCATCCCATCCCATCCCATCCCATCCCATCCCATCCCATCCCATCCCTCCTGACTCCTGGTTCTGCATCTTCCCTAATCTTCCCATCCACCCTCTGTGCCTTCTTAAAATC